CAAAGCTCTTAATTTTTGATCAGAAACAATCATTTAACTTCATGTGCTCGTTCCATTTTCCCACTAAATCTTAAGATGCAAATTGTAGATTGTAGGCTTTTCAAAGTTCAGTTGCTGAAACCTAATAGATAACTCTTTTCATAAAACACTGTTAATATAGTCTGCATCTGATTGTAAAGCTAATTTTAATAGTGTTTTGTACCAGCATAATTTCTGATGCCAGATTGTTATGCCAAGCATGAACTTCAATTTGAACTCTGTATTTTTTAACCCACAGTCCATAATTTTGCATTGGGTTCTACAACTTCTCTTTGGCTATGGCAGTTTGAATGCTTCCACTTTCAAGGATCTAAGCCATAAATGTTTATTAAAAGAATCTATAATGAAATCATTTTTGTTATTTTTTTAATGGCTGCCTTGAGTATGTTGGATGACTGAACGGTGGTTGTTAATCATTAAGTACTTATGGTATAAAAACTGTTTGATAGCATTGCCATCTAGGGGGCTAAACTGGATTCTCCATACTGAAATAAAATGTAATTGAACAGGTGCTACTATTGACAATATGCATATGTTTTTTCTTGAAAGCACACATGCTTCCCAGGTTTTTTTTATGAGAAAAGATATAGCTAAATATCCCCAAGCATTTATATGTTTGTATTGTTTGAGTTAATTTCTTTATTCTCTTAATCTGTTCAGATCCCTGAGTTTTTAACTGATCATAAAGGGCTTTTTAAAACTCCCCTGTCAGAGGGAAAATGTAATAACCTGTAGTACTGTAGCACTCTGTTTTACATGTCTATTAGTTATTAGTAATCTCTATTACTGAGAATCATGCTGTGACTGCTATGTAAATCACCTCTAATTTGTATCATCTTCAAGATTTGAAGAAAGAATTATTCTATTTGAGTTTGCAATTCAAGGGCACAACAGTTTGATCCAAACTAAAATTAACATTAGATTTTTTTTAAAAAAACTGTCTATAAACTATAATGAGGAGGCACCAGAATGAAGAGTCATTTTTGGCTCAATGTGATGAAGACATCACATCTGATAGTTCCTTTGGGAACTATTGATCCTGCCAAGTACTATTTGAAATTTTCAAGGATTTCGCCGCAATTCCTTTTTAATGCAAAGATAGGAAAGGAGAGTATTGGCTTTGAGATGTCAGAAGCGATTGGTATAGCTGTTGGCAGGTTTGATTTATTTGAAGGACCTGTCATCACTTTCAGAGTACAAAACTGTGCCTTAGATATATAGGTCCTCATTTAACAACCACTTGCTCCATGGCTGTTAAACCGTACAACGGCACTGTATGAGTGGTAGTCCCAAAAGTGCTTTTCCATAGAGCAACTGGACTTCCTGGTTTTTTCTTTGAAGACATTTTGCTTCTCATCCAAGAAGCTTCTTCAGCTCTGACAGGATAGTGGGGATTGGAAGGATTTCTTTTCCTTTCAGACAGCTGCTAATTTACAAAACAAAGGAAAAAAAACAAGACAGTCCAGTTGCATCCTGTAAAAGCATCTTTGGGACAACCATGATGTGGATGACTGAAAATCTCTACAGACTTTTAGTTATACAATTTGGGATGAACACACTTCGAATGGTGTGGGAGTAGGAATGGATTTCCAGATGAAAATATTACAGACTACAGGAACCAGGAGTGTTACTCAGGTGACCCTGAGGACATAGATAAACCTCCAAGTACTTCAATTACCCTCTAAAAGGATGTAAATAATCAGCAGTCTGCAAGGAATATAAATCCTTCCATTCCCCACTATCCTATCAAAGCTGAAGAAGCTTCTTGGATGAGAAGTGAAATGTCTTCAAACAAAAAACAAGGAAGTCCAGTTGCCTCCTGAAAAAACATATGTGGAACAACCCTGACCTGGATGACTGAGAATCTCTACAGTCTGTATGAGTGGTATTTGCTCTTCTGCTGGTTGCCGCATCCATGCAGTCACATGATTGTGATCTGGGGACTTGGTGCCCAGCCTGCCATTATGATGTCTCAGAATTCCATAGTCCAGTGAGGACAACCTATATCAGCAGAAATAGGCTGGCATAGTGAGATGCAACAGAGAGAGGCAAGCTACAGAAAACAAGAAGCATCTTAGTTTTGCCAGACCCATTTTCAACAAGTAGTAAATGTTTAGGTCAGCACCTCTGAGTTTTGCCTTGGAATCCATTCAATCATCCTCAGTGCCAGTCACAGAACATCGAAGTAAAGTGTAAAGCAAAGAGTGGTGGGTCTTGAGACCCTAAATTGAGACCTGAGCTGCACATCCCAATCCAAATGTGTTTGCAAGACCGTAGAAGTTATTCCATGTGTATGGCTACAATAAAGAAGCTGAGAGTGGGGAAAATGAATGAAGCCCAAGTGCTAGCCTTGCCATTTTGGAGAGATACTTCTAGGCAGAGACCTTAATGAGATAAATAGATAATAAATTATCTCATTATCCAGATGTTCCTGCTAGTATCAGAGAACCTGCAACAGTCCCACCACTCAACTTATTCACTTCCCCACACCAAGGATCTCCACATTGTCCTGCTTCAGGAACCTAATGAATTCTGTGGACAGAACATAGTGGACTGCATACAGTTTTGAGATGCAAATATTTCCCTTGCAACTTACAATATAAAGGTTTGGGGGAAGTATAGTCAAAGGACACAATGGTGCTGAAGCAACCACAATTTCTCCAAATTTCATTCTCACCAAAATGATTCAATAATTGTTGCCCTATGTGTTCCAGTTTTGCCCAATTGAAGGTTAGAAACAAACAGATACAAGAATTTTAATAGTATTTACATGTATATATTACCAGCTAAGTATATTTCAGCTTTCTGAGTAGATATAGTCTCAATGGAACTTTTAAACCTTTGTTTTTCTTGGTCAGTTTAATGGTCTAGCTGTAGATTTTCCAGCTTGCTTTTGCTAATTAATTTCAAACTTGCCTCTTGGATTTTCCTTTCACTGTTTTTAGATCGCAGGTGTCATGCCCTTGTTGGAGTATGATTCTGAGGGGGAGATTGAGGAGCTGACAGGGAGTGGGAGTGTGGCTCCGGTGGCTGTGGAAGAAACAGGGGAAGGGCACAGTCTGGCTGGGCATTCAGAGGAAGACCCAAGGTCACCCCCTCTTCATCCTAGGGCATGCAGGGAGGAACGGAGGAGGGAGCAACATGGCTTACAGAAGAGAAAAGGGCCCTGATCCCTTTCATTAGTTGCAGCTGGGAGAACAGGATATAAGAAGGGCGTTTGCACACAGCACCTTGCTGGAAGCAAAGCGTGCATTATCTTTGTCGAGGCTTATCTGGGTTTTGGTATCCTCCCAACTGTGTGTGCTTCATTATCTTTTGGAAGTCTGCAATTTATTATCCTGGCCTGTCATGTTAATTACTTCAGCATGATTTGTGTTGGTTTTTTATTTTTAATTTATCTGTACTTTGGGTTTGGACTGCATTTTTTCCCTTTGTAGACTGTTTTTGGAAGAGTTTGATCTCCAGCCCAGAATAACTGGACAGTGGGGGCCAAGTTGGAGGTATTAAAGGGACTTTACCTATTTTTGTGACTTTGTTGCTTTTGTGCCACACCCCGGGTCATCACAGCAGGCTTGGGACCTGCAGCAGTTCCATTTTTTCCCCCTTCATTGGAAATCAGAACTGGCTTCAGCACTGTTTCTCCAAAGAAACAAGGAAAGGCAGCACTTGAAAAAAACAAAACTTGATTTAGGTTTTAATTTGAGTTTCCTGGTTTATAATAACAACAATTCCATGATTTTCAGTGAATTTTGAAGAAAATAAAAATAAATTTAGCAATAATAAAAGAAGAGTAGCCTTGTCCCTAGATATTAGATTGAGCAATTTTGGCATCCTCTCCCTAAATAATAATAATAATAATAATAATAATAATAATAATAATAATAATAA